TCTCCGATTAACACTGGGAACACGGCTGATATAAGTGCGAAAGTCAACCAATACAACTCGGAGCTGCCCAAAATTCTGGATCATCATGCACCACTTATTTCCAGAGAGATAATTATTCGTCCAGCTGCACCTTGGTACACTGAACAAATTAAAAACGAAAAACGTATCAGAAGGAAACTCGAGCGGGTATGGCGTAAGTCAAGACAATCCTGTGATCGTCTAAAATACAGTCAGCAATGTCGCCGTGTCAGTGAGCTATTATAGGAAAGTCGTACTCGTTATTATTCTGAAATTGTTAGAGATAATGGGAGTGACCAAAAGAAATTATTTAAAAACCGTTAGAAAGTTTACTACATTATACCCCTGATTCTCAATATCCTGTGTGCCAATCTGATGAGAATCTAGCTAACAATTTTATGACTTTCTTTGAGGACAAAATTAATAAAATATATGAAGATCTAACGGAATCCACTTAGCTAAATAAAATGTCGTTGTTTGCAGCTAAATGAAATGTCGTTGTTTGCAGTAATCCTCAGTTATTCTCCTGGTTTCTCATCGTTCCCAGTCTCTTCATCCTTACTGCGAAAACTGGTTTGAAAATATTAAAGATTTGGTGGAGAAATACTTCAAGTGTGTGGTCTTCTTTTTTCTTTATATTTTGTTATGTAAAAATGTAATATTTTGGTATGTTGATTTTTTTTAAGTTCGTGATGTATTTCTATGTAGCCTCAGTCTTATCCTAATGGGAATTTTTTTTTAGATGTGAAGAGAGGACGGCCAACCGAATTAAAGCTCTAAATGTGCTTTGTAACATATTAGGAACGTTATCTCCACTATATGAGGTATAAAATTTTAGTACTTTGAATAAATTTTAGTCCATTTTTCTAGACATTAGCGATATTATGAATCTTTTTCTAGTTTTATAACTCCTTGTTTTTTACAGGAAGAAATACTTGAGAATTCAGTGTTGCCACATTTAGACCACATTGTCAAAGATCGGGATATTTCTGTGCGGATCCGAGCTGTCCAGCTTCTGGTCGATGTTATTGAATCCTCTGATTCACCGAAAGTTTGCGATGTTTTGCATATAATCGAGAAGGTACTCAATACAATCATTTTCAGACGGTTTCATTTCTCCACTCCAATTTCCCTCTTCATTCGTGATGAGCTGATACTGTACTTCAATAGAAAACTCTTTCTTATCAGTGAAAGCTTCCTGACCTGAACCTAACTATATATCCGCAAATTGGATCGTTTTACACGGGGGTCGTGAATGCAAACGCATCAGTGAAGTAAAAGGATATATATTTCATTTATCAATTCCAGATTGCCACTGTCCAGTTGATCCTCTCAAACGATACGTTAAGCCGTCATGTAAAGAACATGTAAGGTAATTATAGAGACTGCAAGGTATATGTAGGAACATCTAGAGACATAAAATTACATCTAATCACTGTAATTTGTCTTTGTTGCTGCAGCCTCAGGATGAAACAGCATAGAAAGACATCAAGGAGGCTGTATTAGGATTAGTACGCTTGTTCAAGGTAATGAAGGACATGCAGAGATTGTCCACACATATTCGTTCATTGTGATGAAGTTATTTTCGTGAACAAAAATAAGTGTAATTTAATGCCACACTTGCTTCTCTTTCAGTAATTTCATTCTATTTTTGCAGATGAAATTGTTTCGTAAACCTCAAGAACGAGCCGAACGAATATTCAATATATTAGTGTACCACATAAAAACTCATTATGACAATGGCTATCGGACGTATAGTGCATCGGAAATACGGCTTTCGGTAAGGCAAATTCAATTCTATTTCTCGCGATTTTTCTATGATGTCTCACATTGTGTTTTCTTAAAGATTCTTCAATGTTTCCTCAGTCTGCGAGCTGACAACGTCTAGGCCTTGTGCAAGACAAAAGTAGAAAAGTTTAATTCACTTCGTATTTTGTTTGTTCTGAAAGAAAATGTTGGTTAATGACGATAGTGCCACGTATGTCAGGTATTCTGCTTCCAAAATTCCTTTTCTTGTTTGCGTAATACATTCTCATTTTTGTTTTAGTTCTGCAGAAGATAAGACAAACGGGATTGTTTCACTGCCTTACAGCGAGGCGATGAATGTTATTCTTGTGTGCTTACAACAGGTAAACTTTTCTATCATAATATATCATCTGGCATTAAGTTTCGATTGAAGTTCAACTTTCTTCATTTTCTAGGAATTGGAATGGGAGGTGTTGGATGTTCTTCTGAGGAACTTTCCAGAGGCACTGCAAGATAAAAACTTGATACTTTCTGGAAAGCAATATTTACGTTCAATATCTACAGTCTTCTCTAAAATGGGAAGGGAAGTGAAGTTGTGTCTTTTCACACCAAAATCATGAACTAAAAATTTTACTTTGCATTCAGGTTTCAAATTACGATTTTCTTCCTGGATTATTTCGTGTTCCTAACGATATGCGCCGACCTCATTTGTACGCTAGAATTTTTCCAGTACGGTTCTTATCAATCAGTTTTTTGCATATATCATAATATCTTACCATAATTATACCAAAACCATACCATACCATAACCATACCATATCATATAATCATATCATATAATCATATCATATAATCATATCATATAATCATATCATATAATCATATCATATAATCATATATACCATAACTAACCATAACTAAATCATACCATACGATAACCATATCTTACCATAATAATATCACACCATACCATACCATAACGAAATCATACCATACCATAACCATGCATATCATACCATAATTATATCATACCATACTAATGATTTAATTGGATATTTTATTGTAACACGTGCAGGTATTAACGGAGCTGTGTACGTACCACATTTTTATTGGTCAAGATGAACAGGTAAGAATCTGCGTGACTTTATTTTCAGCGGTTGTCTGTTCTTGCTTAAACGTTGTTGTATATTTCGTCTAGTGTTGTCTGATGCGTACTTGGTTGCTCATTTCGCGACGTTAAGCGTATCTTGTCTCACCGTATGTATGTTAGAAATGCCTTCAGTTATGGCAAGGTATGGCTACTTAAAATAGTCTGGAATTTGAGACGTTTTTTTATTTCCATTAGCACTTTGTAAGAATGAAGTTGATTTAAGTAGTTGCAGCGTTTTAGAAGTTTATTTCTTTGGAGATATTTGAAATCGTGCCTTGATAATGTGCTCAGTGAATTTACAGAAACGTTTTTCAATAAACTCAGCCTAAACGTAACGTCTCTTGTGATGCGAGATACTCCTTCACAAATATATGATTTTTTAAGTAATAATTACTAAATTTTCTGTCCTTAGACTGCTCCCACAATATCTGGAAAAGTTTACTAAACTTTCGCCAACGTCTCAAGTTGCCATACCACTGCTAGAATTTCTCTGGTATGTTTCTTGAAGTTACGTAAATTATGAAATCTGTTACAAAATATCAATGTACCCCCTAAAGAGAGCTAGGTTGTGTAAACACACAATCGTATTCGGCGAAAAGTTGGTAACATTCTTTTAAATCGTTTAAATCGCATTGTAACAGCTTTGTGCTTTGTACAAAAACTTCACAGCGATCCAGTTGAAACAAGTCTTTGGAATATGTTTGCCTTACACAGAATCATCGAAGTTGGCTCAACGCGATAACATCTGAAACTTTTTATTATTGGTTTTGTCAAAATGATTAAAATATAAACGAACTGATATGTTTCACCTTAGATACTCTCAATACACTGTAGCTCTTGCTGATAATGTCATTTCATCCTGGTTTGTCAACTGTCCGCTATTGTTAAGAAAACAATTCGTGCCATTTATTACGAAAGTAAGTCCACATGTCATTCTATTGCCAGGGGATTGCTTGCTGAATTTTCAATAGATATATTTGCAAGAGCGACCAAGTTTTAATATTCTTCTAGTGAAAGCTCTTAGGAACGTATTTGTCATTTCCAGGCTTCTTCAACTGATAGAAAAACTCGTGCAGATGATTCTAGCCAGGTGCCAAACACAAAATTCGATACCAAAGCATCTGACCTTCTTACCCGCGATTTAAAGCCCACTGGTACCGTAGGCTCAGTACAGAAATCTTGTGACTCAAACATCTTGTGACGACCAGCGGTGGGAAAGACTGAGATTTATGAAAGTTTAATTCCAAAACAACTCTTTGGTAAGGTCAACGATGGGTCAAACCTGTTCAATGTTTCGGTTGGGCATTCCGTTGGCGGAATGTCAAATTGATATTGTTGTATTTCAGATGATTTATCGGCCGAACTCATTAAAGAAGGAGCCAGACAACGCCTTGAAACTACAACAGAACTTCTTAGCAAGAGCACAGACAGCGTACATTGATTGTAGATCTTGTCAAAGATCGCCTCGCATCGTGTAGAGAAGATGAGGAAACTAATATTGAAGATACCCGGGATGATGTTGAAATAAGAAAACCGAACTCAAGGAGTCAGGTTTGTAATGTTAAAACAGATCGGCCATTGTTCGCGCATTTACGAAATGAACAAATTATCTGCCAACATTTTAGACAGCGCAGAACAAAAGATGCTGCTTACAGAACACGGCAGATCTTCACCCTCGTCGATTTTATTACAAGATTCCGGTCAAAAGTTGAATCTTGGTTCGGCATTTGTTCAACGAACTCGATATTTGAGTCGTAGTCCGAGATATGGACCAAGCGCTTTTATGGTAAGAATTTCTCTTCAAACTCGCTTTGCATGAAATTTATTTCGTGCAAGAACATTCACTATCCATCCCTTATATTGCTACTAACATGACTGGCAGGGGAAGCAGAAAAGAAAGAGATCTTTGATTTAGACTAGCTTTTTCATTTTACAATCGTTTCAGATTGATGTCGTACCAGATTCCAAAGACACTGTTTTACACAAGGAAGAAACTGAAGGCAAGCGAAATTACCTTTGCAATATGGAGGAAATATATATTATAATATGACTATATTTACCTATTTTTCTTTCACAGGGAACAGTCAAGGCTTATTAACTCGTGAAGAGTTTCAAAAGGTAGCAATTTTAAGATCACGAATCATCATCGTGCATTAATCTCAACATCTGTTTAATTTTAGCCTGTTCCTGGTAAATCCCTTCTGGATGCAAGTCCTTTGAAAACTTTTTTGAGTTAAGACGAGGATAAACTTAATCAATCCGTAAGTCACAGTAATAATAATGATAAATTGGTCTTATACGGATTATTAAATACTGAGCATTATAAACCGGTAAACTCAGAAACCGGTAATCTCAATTTTGCACTTCGAATTACGTAATTTAATCCTTGTGGTTGAAGGTGAGGACTTGCAACGTTACTTATTTATTACAGGGTGACGATAGCGTGGGGAATTCAGGGGTCGGTAGACTTAGGGAAAGACACTCGTAATATAATAGATTTTACAAAATATATCCTTAGGTTTTCCTATGAGTTACAATAAAACCTTTACAATTGTTCATTGATGAGCTCAGAATGTTTCGTTATCACGTGGCCTATGCACGACTCTTAATGGTTACTGTTAATCTGTTGTAACCACCTGCTGTACTGGTACGATTATTATCACATTTTGTTTGAGCTTTACATACCCGGGGAAAACACTCAGCCACGTCGAGGTTATTAGCTAATTCCAACAGCTTGTCGTAGTATTCATTGTGGAATAAATCTACAGAGGCACGTAGTTTTGCCATTTCATCCTTTAAAAGATTAATCTGTTTTATTGATTCCGCAATATCGATTTTTTTTTCTTCTTTAATTGGACCGTCAATGACAAAGTATGATCCAGAACATGTTGGGTGATAATGAGAGCAGCCATAAATTCAAATTTCTCCACGTTGCGAAAATGAGACTGTGCGTCACTAGCTAATCTAGGAAATGGCCCTTCCTGCGATCCTCCAAACTGCATAAAATTGAGTGTTTCGTAGATAACTTTGAATGCATCCAAACAACCATCGCGGGATCTTATTCGTTCTACCCATCGTGTCGTGGAAGGCTTTGCGAGCTTGTTACGGGTTAAACCAAACTCTTTCATCTTTTTACTTAGATACTGTGAGCGGATAGGGAAACTGATAAAAAAGCTGGCGATATTTTGTGCCTGACTCAAAATATTTTTCACTGGAAGAATTGAACACGCTTTGGCAACAATAAGGTTTAAACGATGACTGGAGTAATGAACATGCAACGCCTTCGGGTTTTTCTCTAATATTCTCCCAGAAATACCTTTTACCTGGCTGGACACAGCACTAGCACCGTCATATCCCTGGCCTCGACAATTTTGAAGGGAAGCCCGACATCTTGAAGTGTACTTTGACTAATGAACGGAATCAAATCCAAAGGCGAACAGTTCGGTATACAAATGAAAATGTTCTTGAATCATGTAAAACTTCAAATTTATTCAAGGTATGTTATATAATTAATAATGCATAATATATTTTCGAAATATTAATTTGAACTTAAAATCAGTGTCTACCGTCTACTTTTTTGCATATTATAAAAGTAGCAAGCAAATTCAAATGACCATAAACCCGGCATTATTTTAGAATTCGAAATTTTGACAGGATATAATTTTGTAGTTTTGATAGTTTATACACCCCAACAGCCAAACAATTTTATGATACTTATCCCTATATTGATCATTAAACCCTATAGAATGTATTAAATTATCCAGAAAGTATAAGCTTGGAGTTATCATTAAAAAGTGCCTTGCACCAGGTGAACTATATTTATTCAAATCTATTTACTAATTATTGTATTTTACTAATTTTGTATTTACTAATTATTGTATTTACTAATTATTGTATTTTACTAATTTTGTATATACTCATGTGTATGTTATAGTGATAATAATATAACAATAGAGTTGATGTTCGCGGTCATAAATGTGTTTTTGGCCCGACTTCGAACTCATTTTAGCCCGAGCGTAGCGAGGGTTAAAATGTGTTCCGCGAGGAGGGCCAAAAACACATTTATGCCCGCGAACATCAACTCTATTACTATAATATATAATAAACTATAAACTATTATTACTATAATATATGTTCAACATCGTCAGCCTTCATCCCCTTAGCTCAGTAAGTCATGCGACATTCCATGTCAGTTCCAGTAATTGTTCATCTCAGACCTTGAAAGAAAAAAAACAAACATTCCAAACACTCCAAACACTCCAAACACTCCCCATGTCTTCTGACCTGGATTCAAGTTTACTGCTTTTATCATCTTTTTTATTTCACGTTTCCATTTTGAACATGTCCAATTGCAAAAAAGTATCCAGCCGACTTAAAATAGTTTTATTTTTGCAGTTACTTTCCAGAATATACCGTTTGGTTAAGACTTGTGTATTATAGTATATCATAGTTTTAAAACTTCTTTTTCTGTCAGATATTTTCAATAATTAGCTATCGAGACCATCCTCAGTTGTTCGGGCTGGAATACACAAGCGGTCAGCTGAGAAATTACTCGTCTTCCGACAGGTAGTTTAAAAAAGCAGATTTTGTATGAAGCTATATAAAATATTTCTTGTTCTGAATGTTTGTATTTCACTCAATCTAGGGATATATCATTGGCTGGTTAGCTACACGGGGTTAGAGGCAGTGGAAATGGAGATGTTTGTGTAAAAACGACCCCAACGAAAGACGGTACTGTACGCTTTTTCATAGATGATTGAGCGAAAATTATGGTCAAAATTTTCCTGATGAAAATCTCGCACTGCTATGATTGCCGTAAATACGAACCCTCATTTCATTCTCCTCCTGACGTATGGGATCTCATATAACACACAAACAATTACACTTCTCGTCAGGTATTCCTATTAGTCAGTCCAATACATCACATACAGCAAAAGAAGAATTGTTTTTTTAAGATGATATATTTTTCAAGGTTATCGTTGGGGTCCATTGTATAACGTTGTTGACGAAGAAGTAGAAAGCAGTCATTTAAAATTCCTCGCTGCGTCTCCAGGTGAAATATTTCTCTTTTTATTTCACTTTAAATTTTTGAAATATCTCCAAAAGCTTATATTGTCTTATTACTGGTTCCTTGCAGGAAATTTAACCGAAGATGTGTAGAGATTTAACTGCAATATTTCCTACAGCGGTCTACTTCATGCAGTCACCCAAGACGTAAGTTGACAATTTCTTATTTTGTACTTTTCTGCAGACAAAATCCTGTGTAGAGAATATTATTGCATTTTTACTGAGTTTTAATGTTCTGTCAAAATCTGGATTAAGGCTGTTTTCCACTCACGTGTTTTTCATACGCACGTTAGTTTTCTGCTTATTTTAGTATGCATTAGTTGACCTAGATTTACAACAATAATCGTTATAAAGGAAGCGAGAATAATTTAAATTGGCAGATTGAAGCTTATTATAATCATAACCATGTACGCACGGACTCGAGTTTACTTGATAGTCGATAGCGTCGACAGCAAATGACATTGAAACGTTTGTATGGATATTTCGAAGTCCTGACAGTATAATTAATATCCCGTAGGTTATTTCAAGCAAATATTTGACTAGCGACGTCGAACAAGGCCAGTTAACCGCGTCGTGGATCGTAAACTGACCTCAATACAGAAAGTGGGGACAAAAAGCCATAGCCAAAATACAAACATTTTGTTCTAGGCCTCTCAGTTCCCGCCTCGCCGCGTATAAGGAACGTTAAGAGGCCTAGGGACTACGCTGCGGTAACTCTGGTTGCTGAGTTGACTGGGTCCGAATCCATGAAATGGTAGATTTGAATTTTCTCGCCAGAAGTACGGCTGGAATATTAAGTCTTTTAAACTCCAATATATATTTCAAACGATTTTAAATATTTTGTAAGGACTTTTCCCGGAGAATAAAGAAAGACTTATCATTAATGCCATCACAATGCTCATTGCTCACGAAGGTATTGTATATCTTTGCCAATAAATATATTTAGTGTTCACCCCTAAAATATACATATTCTGACTGCTATTACCTTCACAGGTATTCAATATATACATAAAATAGTTAAAATGTTTCGTCTATTTGCAGGAGACCAAAACAAAATATCAGATAAAGATCTCGAAGCACTGTTTCACGCTTTGAGACATTAGGTTGGATCCAAAGCAGGTTTCACAACGCTCACTAGGTGAGAAACGTTTATCTTTAACCACAACACACGCTGTTTACTCAACCAGCTCACTTTCTCTAGACCGTGTTTCTGTTTTGTTTTTACAGCTTCTATGAGAAGGTTGGTGTGAAAACTGTGAAAGCTTTGAAGAGGAATAATGAAGCCGTGACTCACGCCGCTGTCGACATACTGTGTGCTCTGATGCAGGTAAAGAGAGGGCTTTCCTTTAAGCGGCCAAAATGGTCAGACCGGTCATATTTAAATTTAAAATAGAGTATTTCGTTAAGAATATAGTTGCGAAATTTCCGAGCTAGACAGATGCAAGTAACGATATACTTGAACGCAGAGTTCTTGAAACACTCTAAAATACCAGTAATCTGTCTGTACCGAGATCAACAATAGGACCGGTCTGGCCGTTTTTTCCGTATAAAGGAAAGCGCCAACACTTTAACGATGAATTTCCTGGTAATATGTTGCCAAATCTGTCACTGTCATTAGTGTTACCCCTTTAACTTGCAATCCACATAAACTCAGCCAACTTTGAAATCTGAATGTTAACAGGATCCAATTTTATCGAAACCAATTCTTTTTTTTATATAGCCAACGCACGATAACTATGACATTCGACAAGAACAGATAAACAAAAGCTCTTTGTTATCCTCTGAAAAATTTCTAAGCAGTTTGTTGGAAATTCTCACGATAAATGTTGTAAGATGTGCGGTGTTGGTTGCCTATAATCTATGCTGAACCCTTGCATTTTTTTTTCCATCCCTCTTGTATGTATATAGCTTTGTTTTGGAAGAGAAATTCCCTTGCAAAACCCAGCAAGTGATTCGTAGCAACTGCCTTTCTAATTTGAACTACCTTTCTAACTAAACACAAGAAATAGATTAACCATGAAAACTTTTCTTCTATATTCGTTCTACTGGGGTTTTAGTTATAAGTGGATTGCTTGATTTTCTGACGTTTGCTCTGTGTCCTCCTTACAGGTTTGTTCTAGTTGCTTTGCAATATATTAAAATAATACGGGGGTGAAGTTGGACATTCATGTTAAACTAATAGTAAGGTGTGATT